AGGGAATATGATTTTCTAGAACTACACATTATTGGTTTTAAGCTGGTGTCATTCATTATTAGAGTAATCATGGCTGTATTTTCACAATACAATACTGCTGGCAAAATTTTGTGCCCTTTGCCCTAAAACAAACAGGTAAAACACAGATTATTGAATATAGCATGAATTTCGTTGTAACTGAGTTAATTTGGTAACAGATTCTTTTTCTAAGTGAAGAGTAATCCACACATGGTTTCTTGTTAATTACATGGGGTGGAATAACCATATTGATCTAGGTGACAAAAATATAACAACTTTCCTTTAAATAACTAAGCAAGGTTTAATTTGTAACACACAATCTCTTTCTAGAAAGAGCTGATTATAAATATAGCTCATTTTTTGTGTACTTGAATTAATTATATTGGGTTTCTGTCTTTGTGAATCATGGTCTGAAGAAAAAAATGACAATGACTCAATTTTCTGCTGAATGTAACACTAAAAGCATACGTTATAGAGGAAAATCTGTTCACAGTCATTTTTTTCTTCAGACCATGATGGCATCGGAGGCATTAGAGCTTTCCTCAGCAGGTAGGGATATCCCAGGGCATCCAGATTATAGGCGACTTCATTCAGAGGAAAACACGGCGGCCACAAAAAGGCCTGGAATAAAGAAATCTATATCATGGGGAAACCGATCAGATGCGATGAGAACGTTGTCTTTTCAACGTAAGTTTATCTTGTGGTGAATGTTAGAGAAACACAGCACAATTCCTTTGTAAATTAAAAATGTTGTGTTATGGACTAACATCAATAAATTGTAGTTAACTTATTAGTGTCATCAGACTTCCCTAATTCAAATTCTGTTCACTCCTTAAAACCTCAATAGATGTTAATATTATTGCTTGATGGTACATGTACTGTAATATGAAGTTGGCCTTAAAATCAGTTACCTCTTATAAGCAAGAGTTTTCTCTGGCACAATACCATTATTTTTTTTCCTTAGCTTATTTAATTGAGTCTCAGTAATAATTTATATTCCATAGTAATTACTCATCCCTTTGTTCCTGACCTAAGCACCAACACAACTCACAATACAATTAGTCAGTCTGGTGACAAAATGTAAGAAAGATTTTTATATTAGAATGATTTTATCATATTACCAAGACTAGTGTTTGTCTAATGCTGCATGTTACCAGCTAGAGTTACTTGTACCTTGGGTACAATTTTGGGTAGCAGTGAATAGAATGAACAGTCAACTTTCATGATTGCTGGCATCCTCAGTAATACTCCAGGCAGATACGTAATAAGGGGAACTACATGTGGGAGAACAACTTTCCCAGAAAACATTTGTATTCAAGGAATGACATTTAACAACAATCTTGATTGACCTGCATTAGAAGAAAGATAAATCCAAACAAGAAGACAAAAATGAAAGTCAGTAAAGTATGACATTTTGTCTGAATGTTGAAAGATACTGCTCGGTGCCGGCCAAACGCTGAAATTGTACTTTTGGGACCAAAAAAGCATCTGTGTGTCTGTAATGGCGAGACTCTGTGATAGTGGAAGTTTGTTTTACGGTGAAACATTTATAAGTTTTACACAACTAGTTTCAGTTATAGCGAGCTGTCTGCAAGGCAAGACTTGCCTGTAATTTAAGATACATTGACAGCAGATCCAGGGCTCAAGAAAAGTTCCTTCCAGTAGTGATATTAGTGAACAACATCAATCTTCTCCTAATGATATCCAGGGATTGTCAAGAGCAAAGTCTAGAGGAATTAATAAAATGATCACAAAGACAAAAATTCTTGATCTGTTATCAAATTCTTCCAACTAGTTCTAATAGGAAACGTATAGAGATCAGTTAGGAGAATTTGTATGTTGATATTGGGACTTAAAGGGTTAACTAAGCCAGCAAGAAGTGGCCCTGGACAAGCAAAGGACAATCTTGAATCCAATTTTTTTTGAGCCCCGAGACCAGCCAATATCGTAGTTGAAATTTGCTCCCATCTGCTGAAATCCTGCACAAATTGAACACCAAAGACTATAGGCGAATCTTTGCTGATTTCATTGGTTATATTTTTGGTCATTAGCATACAAACTCATAGAGGGTGTCACCATATGCACAAATTAAATTCAAAAGTTGAAAGAGTTGGTTAATTTGAGCAATTTGTGCAATTTTCAGCTCTTTGCAAGCGGAAACAAAGGAAATAGTAGCCACCAAATACTGCGAAGTTGCTGGGTGGCAAAAGCATCAATGAGCCTATACATTCTTTGTACAGTTTCGACTTTTTCAAAGACAAAATAATTTATCTGAAAATATTCCGTATTCTGAGGCTCAAATTTTCACAGATAACAGAAATTGTTATGCTCTTTAAATATTCAGAGAGTTTATTTTAATAGCTTGATCAGAGAGTGAAAGGTATATGCTACTGAAGCAAAAAATGTAAACAAAGATTGGCCTATTCCTCTGAAGTGAAGACTTATATAGTATTTACGGAAGTACATGTGTTAAAATTCAACATTACAGCAACATTACAGCTTTGTGCTTTGTTTAACTTAAATGGTCTCCTCACTGGTTGGCCATATGTCCTACTATAGAAGAAATGATTTCCAGCCGTGATGTGGTGTAAATGCTAATACATGTAGTTGTACATCATTGTAGTAAAACTTCTATGTCTGTTTTTTTTTTTTTATGTGTAGCACTGACAGTCGCCGTGTTCTTAGTGGAGAAGTCAGGTCGTCTGCTTAATCTTGAGGAAGGAAGAAATACCATAGCTGGAACAATAAACACAATCATGGCAGAGAATCTCTCGCTTCCACCTGTCGCTTCACAAGTGTTCTGTGTCTGGCTTATTTCTCCTCTGCTGCGTAAGTGGAATTTTTGCATATTTCTAAAAACAACTCATGTTATAATTCAGTTGAGGTCTTCATCTCTCTGTTCCCCTCTGAAGTAAAGAACTTTCCACTCTGTTAATGCAGTTTCTTCGAGCGCATGCATGCATACTTGAAAAGTTGCAACTGCAGAGCAATCTGTTACCTTTGGAGCTTTCAGAGCACATTTACTTTTCCTCATTTACGTTTCTTATAAATACATGTACATGAAAAAAATTGCCAACTTTGCACTGTATTTTCCCACTTCTCTAAAATAAGAGATGTAATTAATGTCAATCTGTGTTATATATTGCACTCAGTTCTTGTACTGACTTCTTTTACATACTGTTCATTGTCAGTGGTTTTTATTATAAGTATTATCTCTTTCCCCTTTTTTAGAGCTACAATTAAAAGATCACCACCGCCCATTCAGATTACGGAAAGTATGGGCAGAATTACTGAAAAAGTTTACCGTTGTTACTGATGAAGTTGCCGAAAAAGGTAAACTGCCTTTAAAATGTCCAAGTTGTACATTTATCATAAGGATTACACTGTATTTTGTTGTCATAAAAATCTTTTTTTTTTTTGTTTTTTCAGTGATGACTAATGTAAATATTTTTGACAGTTTACTTAGATAAATATTTATTTAATGGTATGACATTGAGGCAAGGAAGCAAATTAAACTGTACAATATTAATTTCCCCCTCTTTAAAAAATCCTCAATATACTGGATATGATACACTATTAAACTGGTAAATCTAATTTATCCATTAATTTCAATCCGCCTTTAAGGATGAGAATTGATTCCAAAACACAACATCAAGTGCCAAGAGAAATATTTAATATATTATTGTTATTTTTGTTTTTGTTAATCGTGCAGATGAACCAATTCTATGCTATCAGAGAAATTCATTTTTCCCACTTTCAGAGGAAAAGAGAGTAAGTAACAATTATTTTATTTTTATCATAGTGAACTGTGTGGAATTGTAAAGTACTTTAAAATGTTAACCTATTTTTTGACATTCTGTTTCTATTTTTACACAGATAAAGGATGATAGAATTATCAAAAGGCTCTTTGAAGAGGTGAGTAACATACCACCGTAGAAATTGTGTAGAACAAAATCTTATCCTTAAATTGATGGGTTTAATATATAATAAATTTCAAGCAAGGAATGGAATAGTTAATAAAGCTGCTTCATAGCCCCTTGTGTTCCTGGTAATGTAATATTTTGAACAGTTTGGGAATAGTCCTTCTCAAATTGCTTCATCTGCAGAAACTTGAAGCCTGCATGACTTTTACTAACATTTATTGTTGCAAGTTGGTACTAGAAGTACTGGATTTAAGCAAAATGGGTTCTTTGAGTGCTAAAACGCTACCATGAAGTAATAATGAATTATTTCTAGATCCCTGTCAATATTCAATGACGTTTCTGTTATTTCTCACGTTGTTCAACATTTTTTGTGTTTTGTGTTTTCCTTATAGGCCAAATATAACATCCTGAGTGGCAATTACCCAATAGCTGAGGAGGATGCTCTTATTCTCGGAGGAATTCTTGCCTATATTGAAAATGGACCATTTGATCCTAAAGAACACACTCCTGGTGTTTTCAAGTAAGTTTAAATGATATTTAATGCCATTAACAACAAGGAGCAAGGTCACTTGTTGTCTATTAGTGGTGAGTGTTGTGGCTAAAGCGCTGTCAGCCTTGTTTGCATCATGACTTCATGTGCCTACTACAGTGTTTCTTGGCAGCCTCTCTCTTCGTTTAGCCTTTGGATCATTCTTTTAGCCCCATCCTCCCCCCCCTTTTTTTTTCCAGTGATAAATCATTGTGACAGGTGTCTGGTTGGACTGGCGTGGTAGCTCATGGCTGGAAAGGGGCAGGTTTACCAGCCATGGGGGCATAACTCTGTCTATAGGCTGGCTTTGCCAAATTAAAGTGGAAGCCCCTGGACATGCCGGGCACCCACCTCCACAAAGCAACGCAAATGTTAATGTTTAATTTAGGTCACTGTTTTCATAATACTGTGAAGTTCATGGAGGAGGAAGGTGAAGTGTCTGCACAGAAATACTCACTCATCATTAACATTTGCTTTGAGCCTGAAGTCACTTTGAATTATACTGCTTAGGAGACATGCAGCTGTACTTTTGTTCAGTAATAATTCTTTGCTGACATTAACTTTCAAAGTGTGCAATGAGTTCTGATGAACAAAGTTGGCTAAACTTCTGTGTAATGATCACTTAAACATAACTTTTCCATTTTAGAAACAAGTTAACAGATTATCTACCAGGATGGCTTTGCAAATCAAGCTGGTCTATCCGTGGTAAATACCCTCGATTGTCTCTGGAAAACAAGCTTTTGCAGCAGTACGCAGATGTTTCTGAGAAAGCATCGGATGTTAAAGCTTGCTACAAAATGTTTCTGGCATACTGCTGGGATTTTCCATTCTATGGGTATGTTGCAGTGATTTTATGCAAATAGTTATGGTGAGTCCTGGGACTCATCTTGTGAAAAATCATGAGTTTCAGTCCAGACCCATTGAGTCCCAATTCAAAAACACGAGTCCCTGGGTCTTTATGTAACCACACAGTTAATCTAAAGACAAACTCCAAAACTCGGTATTACAGTTTAGTGAAATAAAAATATACTCCTTAATTGTCAAGCACAACAAAGACTAAAAGGAATATGCACCATTAAACAACAGTCACAGAACGGCCACAGAAATCACACAAACAGGATATTCCACAAAAACATCTTCAGTTCGATCAACTGATTTTTGCGTCTCACGGGATGCATATGCGTGAGGGATGCAGGACACAGAGGTAACAAAATCGCAGATGTTGCAGCCTGTTTAGTGCTAAGAGTGATCAACATCCAATGTCTCCCTGGGGGGTATTAAGGGTTTCCTGGATGACAATTATTTTTGCAGATCTCCTTCTTTTCTCATTGCTTAACTTATTTTTTGTTTCAACAGGAGCGTCTTTTTCCGAGGTCAGATTGAACGTCCTTCTACTTCTCTGTTCTCTAACATTTGGGGAAGTTCAGATTTGCCAGTAAGAGTTGCCATTAACAGGGAACGTCTTCATGTAATCGATGACAACAAAAATGTATGTGGTGACTCTTATACATTATTTCTTTTATAATCTTAGGCCCAGTTCCAATGCCATACCTCACATGAGCTGAGTCAAATTCAATGAATTAAGTTCATGTGAAGTACAGTGCTGAGTCAATACGAAACAGCTAATTGTATTTGGCTAAGTTCAGCCATTCTTCTTGCCTTGCTCAGCCTGGAATAACAGTTGTGGACGGCCAGTATTTATTCAGCTGCCAACCTTCACACAGGGTTGTTAAAAGTAACCCTGGCCAAAATCACTGCCTACTTGGTTAGTATTGGCCGGCTACTCTGCTTGGCATTTCGTTATGGATGGCATTATTTTTTAAAACAGAATATCCCTGGACTTACTTTGACAACTCAGCCATCTACTTCAAACCTTTCTGACAACCCTGCTTCACATGAGACAAACCAAATGCATTAATTTTTATGCATATTTATTTAATTTTTTTTAAATCATGATAGTAAGCTTGGGGAGTACTTACACCTGTACATGTTTGTGCCCTGTGATAATCCGGTATTGAATTGTAAACTTTTCCTAAAACATTCTGCTTTTGTCACAGTTTAGTAAAGTAATTATTATTATTATACTAAATTAATTTTGACAAAAGCAGAATTTTTTATGTTTTTCAAAGACTCATTTTTTGGGGGGGATTACTTGGGTGATACCCATGAATAGCACTACTCATTTTTTGGCTACTTCTTTAAAAAATTGTCGGCAGCCCTTGACTTAGTACCCAAGTTGTGCCATTTATTCATTTATGTTATTTTATTTTATTCTGTTGTTGCCTCAAAGGACATTCTTTTGAGCCTGGCATTTGATGAGCTGTCATGGGACTACACTCCTGCCCCAGCTATGGAGCCAGGCTGTTTGGATACTTTCTGGTTAGAGTTTGACATACCAGGCAATAATGGTCAGTCATTAGAGGTACAACGCCTGCAGGTCTTTTCAAAACAGGTGAGCCTAGCTCTCTTCAGTTTGAAATTTGAAGAACATGGGTATATTTTAAGAAGAAGAACGTTACATACTTTGCAATGGATTTAAAGTTTACTGCATTGTTGTGTTTTTTTTTAATTTCCAGGCTGAAATGATGGATGCAATGGTTCAGTCATGTGTTTTTTGTGATGACCCAGCAGGGTAAATAAACCAGTCCTTTATGTCCTAAGAATGGCCAACATCAATTAAATTGATGTTGATCAACGATAGCGTTACTCGTCTGATCCATGTCATTTGACAGAAAAATAATAGTTCAGATCTTTCGAAGGGATGCAATAATACGGCCTGTTGTCTTCAAGGAATGGCTGACCAAGTCGTTCAAACGGCGTGATGTCTTCAATGAACGGGTGATCAAGTCGTTTGAATGGGTTGATGTTTCTAACAAACAAGTGACCAAGTCATTCCAACGGGTTGATGTTTCTAACGAACGGGTGACAAAGCCATTTGAACGAGCCGATGTTTCTAGCGAACGTGTGACTAAGCCATTCCAACAGCTGACAAACGGCTTGTAAATGGGAAGCTATTTGAAAACAGAAAGCCGTTAGGGTCATTTTCACATGGAAGGTCACATTTTCTCTTAAAACAATATTAGTACATAATCAAAAGAAAGTTTATGAGAATTAATGAAATTATCACCAATGAAAAATGGTTCGATCTTTTACTACATTATTTTCTCTCAACTGCTTCTTTAAGAAATGTATAGATATTAGTCTAGAGAATTATATTGTAGGTTTTGTTGATTGAGGGGTAGTTGGTAGGGGTAAAATATTTTCATAATCAGTTATTGTCGTGATACATAGCCTTAATGTTGAAGTCAGCTAAGTGTATTTCAAAATCCACAGTGTTTAATACTTTGTTTTGTTTTAGCTAAGGGTTTTCCTGTAACTAATCTTTTGTTTACCCATCACTTACAATCAATTTTCGTTTCTCTTCTTTTCTTGTTGTTTTATGGAAACAGGGATGGTCGCAGACAAGGTGAGTGTCAGTTTTGCTGTACATGTTTATTCTGTGTGGTCTATGAACATTAATTGGCTTTTCTCCTAATCCGTAATTAAAATTTTCTTTTTCGTTGTTTTTGGTCGTGTTAATTATAATGTATGATAATAGTTTAAAGGCTTGCAAAGGAAAAGAAAATTTGAGCTAAGGTTAAAATTGAACCGTAACTACAGCGTGCAAAGAAAGTGGTGTCCTATAGCCGGGCTGGTAGATTTTAATATTGGACCAGTGAATTCTGTTCTTAACTTGCCGGACGGGCAGGGCAAGTGAAATTTTGTAAGGAATTATAATCACAAAAGAACTGTTACATTTGTATCAACCCTGCTCATCATCGGGCTAGTTAAAATGACTTTTGGGTTAGTACATGCTAACTGCAGTTTGCCCAAATGGGAAGCTGTAAAACTGACTTTCTTTGCACCCTGAACTAAATGTAATGATTATTGTGCAATTATTTTGTGTGAGCTACCAATCCAATCATGGCCCCCTTTTCGAGGCTTATTCTCCTACATGAAGTTCGCTGTCATAATAATATTTGTCTTTGTTTTTATTGACATATTTGTAGTACAGTTACAATGTCACAATTTCATTTATTACAAACAAATATTATTGACACTATCAACACTTAAATTTAATGGAATGCAAATCTTTTATAGGCTAAGTTCATCTGAATGATAACGAATACTTCTTTTTTGAACAGGTGGAATGAGTTGCAGAATGGAGCGCCTCAGTCTTTCCACTCTTGAAGGTTTGTGATTCAATTGAGTTAGCTTTTGACAAGCTTGGGTTGTTAATAACTGAACATTGATGATGATGATGTTGATTAAAAAATTAAACTTGTAATTGTTACTTTTTTTATAGGAGCTTTGAGCCGAAAGAAGAGGAGCAACGCGTCCTTCACCTTGAGCAACCCCTTTAGGAAGAGGCAAGGCTCAGATCAATGACAATGTCCACAACCTTACACATGTCTGTTCAGAAAAACTGTTGTTAGCAATCAATGCCTTGGCAGTATATATAAAGAAGTTGTAAAATAGTTCTTCAAGAAGTAATTGCTGTTGATATTTTTTTTTAAAATAGTTTTTTATTGTTGATATTTTATGAGGTCTTTTGTTTGGTAGAACCAGAGAGGGCTTGTATAATAGCATTTTAGAGAAAGAGGAAGAGTGTGAGATGCTAAAAAACGGAGTAGCAAGAACAGCACAGCAACACTGGTGTGTGACTTGTAGACTGCAGACATGCAGATGGACAGGTATGAGAAGACTCAAAATGTGGGGTGAGAAATAGTTTTCAGGTAGGTTCACAACATTGTTGACGTTCATCGTTCTTATTGACTTTGTTTTACTGTCAAGTCTGCATGTCTACAGTCTGCAACTGTTACACAGTGCAAGTTACTTTTACCTTTACTTGGCTTTGTCAATTGTGGAACAGGTGTGTCTTAGCTGCGTCAACAAATATTGTGCCAGTGTTGGCATACAGTTTTTTCATGTACTATTGATTTTAATAGTGGTCAGTGTGTCTACAGCATCAACCAATATAGTGCCAGTGTTGACATACAGTGGTACCATGTGCCCTTTTAGTCTTGTTAGTGTTCAATGTTGACAGTGTGTCTATAGTGTTGATCAATGTAGTGCCAGTGTTGATATACAGTTTTTAGTCTTCCTAGTAGTGGTCAGGGTTGACAGTTTGTCTACAGCATTGACCAATGTAGTGCCAGTGTTGGCATACAGTTGTACTATGTGCTCTTTTAGTCTCAATAGTGGTCAATGGTGATGTTTCATATACTTTTGAGTTACAAAACTGGCAAATGTTTGCGTATTACATACCTATGGCCTGGTAGGACTCAACACTGGTCAGTGATTGGGTATCATTATTAGATAGTCTTTCAGTCTCAATAGCAGGGCTGTCATTAAGAGCCTGGGGCTGAGGATTTCCCCCAACCAATGATAAATTATGAATGTGGTCCCCAGCTTCTTTCGTTGGAAAATGGAAGAAAAATTGAACCAAAAGAAATCCCTAGCCGTTTGATTCCCCACCTACTTATTGTATTTACCCAGCAACTTGAAGTCTTGGTGACAACCCTGCAATAGTGGCCAGTGTTAACGATTTGTTCCCTTCAGCCCTCAATAATGACCAGTATTGGCATATCGAGTACCCCTCTAGTCCCAGTAGTGGCCAGAGTTAATCTGTTGTTCATTTCCTATTCATTTTCGTTCATTTCATTTCGCATTGTAACTACACAAACCAATCATTGTGGCATTAGTCGTTCCTACTCGCTCTTTTTTTACTGATGAAATCCAAAAATTGTCAAAAACAAGAAAAAGTATCAATTTCAATGTTACTTTGATACTTTAACAACAAAAAGGTTGACTAGTACTCCTTTGTTTTGAACTTTACAAGTAACTTTACGTGCAAGTAAAACAGTGGGCAAATTCGAAATTATTGTTGGCACTGTTTCTCCGAGCAGTTTGGATTGGTCCAAAGAGTCTATAAAACAACACAAAGCAAAACTCGTTCATTTAACAGAAAAAAAAAGAAGAAAAATTTCGCGCTTTATTTATCATTATTTTTTTACGTCTTAATATTTCCACTTGAGTACAAAATTAAAAAAGTTGCTCAACAAGTTGTCGCAATATGGACCAGATATATCACCCCAAGTAAGGGATTCCAGAATACATTAAATCCCACTGACTATTGGAATCCAAATTCAAGACTGGAATCCAGTACCTGGAATCCTGAATTTGTAGTGTGGAATCCAGAATCCAAGACTGGCTTGGATTCCCTTACATCGGGCAAAAATATGGCTAAATATCGCTTATTTCGTTTCCTACAGAGAACGGTCTATAGTTCTCTGTGGATTTATCTCATTCTCATTACTTGTCACTAGAAAATGCAAGGTCAAATACAGCTGTAAGTGATAGTCTTCCACGCAAGAGCCGTGAAGTACATTATTTAACCATTACTCACTAAGCAGTTTATCAACTCGCTTCTATGGGTCGCTTCATGTACCTTCTTATTTTAAATTAAGTTCAGAATCTCCGATTATTTACTTCAAAAGTAAAGTAAAGGAACAAATATGTCATTAATATAGTTTATTTAAGTAATGAATCTTGCTTGTTATTCACTTGTTTTGGTTAAAATAAGATAGCCCTGAAAAGAATTAAGAACAAATGGTAGACAAAAGCTATGTGTACCAATAAAGCTTTTTAATCAAAATGGATGGATTTAACTGGAAATAAGAGATAGAAAAATACCCGTGTTGAAAAAATGCTTCAAATCCCACAGAAAAATCCAATATGGGAACCACCCGACATTTTTGCATTTAGAAACATTATTATTATCAGACCTTCTACTTTGTATTTCAATATCTGTCTGTATTGAGAAATCCCACAGAAGCTTATTTCTTGTCACATTCCACTGCTCTTTGTGGTTCATGTTCATACCATTAATCAATAAAAGGAAACTTAATTTTGACCCAAAATCATGGGTTAACCCCTTTAGAAGAATCCAATATGGCCACCCCAAAATCAAACGTTTTATAAACGCTGGGCCTTTTTAGCAGTCTAAAACATCATCAAACATCTTTGCTTACTTTATTTAAAAACAAAATCATTACAAAACAAAATTTTAACTTTGACCCAAATTCTTGGCTTAACCTTTTTGGAAAAATCTAGTAAGCCACCCCAAAATCAAATTTTTATAAACGGTGTTTTCGGCCCTTTTAGAGGTGTGAAAAATCACTTATCTATTCCCCTTCATTTATCTTAATTTTTCACCAAAACCATGGGTTAACCCCTTTGGAAAAATCCCCATTTTTGGACTTTTTGAACTTCTTGTTTTTATAGCCAAAAAAGGCGTTTTATTCGTTCTAGAATATCGTAAAACACCTTTTCCTGGCCTGTATTGCCTAAAAAAAAAAAAGGAAAATAGCCATTTTTGGACCAAACCCACGGGTTAACCCTTTGGAAAAATCTCAATTTTTTCCACTTTTTGAACATGTTGTTTTTATACCCTAAAAAGGCGTTTTTGCGTTCTAGAATATCGTATAAGACATTTTCCTGGCCTCTATTGCTAAAAAACAAACATGGATAAAATGGCCATTTCTGCACCAAAAAAATGGGTTAAACACCTTGAAAAAATCTCAATTTTTCGATTTTTTGAACATCTTGTTTTAATGTCTCGAAAGGCGTTTGTTTATTCTAGAATATCGCAAAACACATTTTCCTAGCCTATATTGCCTAAAAAAAGGATGGAAAAATGGCCATTTTTAGATCTAAACTACGGGTTAAACCCTTTGAAAAAATCTCAGATTTTCGACTTTTTAAACTTCTTGTTTTTTTGCCAAGGAAGGCGTTTTTTCGTTCTAGAATATCGTAAAACACATTTTCCTAGCTTGTATTGCGGAAAAGAAAAACATGGAAAAATGGCCATCTCTAAACCAAAACAATGGGTTAACCCCTTTGGAAAAATCTCAATTTTTAGACTTTTTGATCTTCTTGTTTTTACAGCCAAGAAAGCCGTTTTTTCGTTCTAGAATATCGTACAACACATTGCCTGGCCTATATTGCCTAAAAAAAAAAGGATACAAAAATGGCAATTTTTGGACCTAAACCATGGGTTAACCCCTTTGAGAAAATCTCAATTTTTCGACTTTTTTGGCTTCTTGTTTTTATAGCTTAGAAAGGAGTTTTTTCGTTCTAGCATATCCTAACACATATTTTCCTGGCTTATATTGCCTAAAAAAAAAGAATGGAAAAATGGCCATTTTTGGACCAAAACCATGGGTTAACCCCTTTGGAAAAATGTCAATTTTTGGACTTTTCGAACTTCTTCTTTTTATAGCCTGGAAAGGCGTTTTTTCGTTCTAAAATATCGTAAAAGACATTTTCCTGGCCTATATTGCTTTAAACAAAAAGTTGGAAGAATGGCCATTTTTGGACCAAAACCATGGGTTAACCCCTTTGGAAAAATGTTAATTTTTAGACTTTTTTAACTTCTTGTTTTTATAGCCTAGAAAGGTGTTTTATCGTTCTAGAATATCGTAAACGACATTTTCCTGGCCTATATTGTTTTAAAAAAATGGGTTGGAAAAATGACCATTTTTGGATAAAAACCATGGGTTAAACCCTTTGCAAAAATGTCAATTTTTGGACTTTTTGAACTTCTTGTTTTTACAGTCTAGAAAGGCCTTTTTTCGTTCTAGAATATCGTAAAAGAATTTTTTCCTCGCCTATATTTCCTAAAAAATAAAGTTGGAAAACTGGCCATTTTTTGACCAAAACCATGCGTTAACTCTTTTGCAAAAATGTCAATTTTTGGACTTTTTGAACTTCTTGTTTTTACAGTCTAGAAAGGCCTTTTTTCGTTCTAGAATATCGTAAAAGAATCTTTTCCTGGCCTATATTTCCTAAAAAATAAAGTTCGAAAACTGGCCATTTTTTGACCAAAACCATGCGTTAACTCTTTTGCAAAAATGTCAATTTTTGGACTTTTTGAACTTCTTGTTTTTATAACCTAGAAAGGCATTTTTTCGTCGTAGAATATCGTAAAAGACATTTTCCTAGCCTATGTTGCCTAAAAAAAAAGTTTGAAAAATGACCATTTTTGGACCAAAACCATGGATTAACCCCCTTAGTAAAATGTCAATATTTCGACTTTTTGAACTTCTTGTTTTTATAGCCTAGATACGCCTTCTTCGTTCTAGAATATCGTAAAAGACATTTTCCTGGCCTATATTGCTTTAAAAATAAAGTTGGAAAAATGACCATTTTTTAACCAAAACAATGGGTTAACCCCTTTGGAAAAATGTCAATTTTTCGACTTTTTGAACTTCTTGTTTTTATAGCCTAGGAAAGCGTTTTATCGTACTAGAATATCATAAAAGACATTTTCCTGGCCTCTAATGCCTCAAAAAAAAAAGTTGGAAAAATGGCCATTTTTGGACCAAAACCATGGATTAACCCCCTTAGTAAAATGTCAATATTTCGACTTTTTGAACTTCTTGTTTTTATAGCCTAGATAGGCGTTCTTCGTTCTACAGAATATCGTAAAAGACATTTTCCTGGCCTATATTGCTTTAAAAATAAAGTTGGAAAAATGGCCATTTTTTAACCAAAACAATGGGTTAACCCCTTTGGAAAAATGTCAATTTTTCGACTTTTTGAACTTCTTGTTTTTATAGCCTAGGAAAGCGTTTTATCGTACTAGAATATCATAAAAGACATTTTCCTGGCCTATATTGCCTAAAAAAAAAAAGTTGGAGAAATGGCCATTTTTGGACCAAAACCATGGGTTTACCCCTATGAAAAGATGTCAATTTTTTTACTTTTTGGACTTCTTGTTTTTATAACCTAGAAAGGCGTTTTATCGTTCTAGAATATCATCAAAGAAATTTTCCTGGCCTCTAATGCCTCAAAAAAAGAAGTTGGAAAAATGGCCATTTTTGGACTAAAACCATGGGTTGACCCCTTTGGAAAAATGTCAATTTTTCGACTCTTTGGACTTCTTGTTTTTGTAACCTAGAAAAGCGTTTTATCGTTCTAGAATATCATAAAAGACATTTTCCTGGCCTATATTGCCTAAAGAAAAAAAGTTCGAAAAATGGTAATTTTTGGACTAAAACCATGGGTTAACCCCTTTCCAGAAATGACAAGTTTTCGACTTTTTAAACTTCTTGTTTTTATAGCCTAGAAAGGCGTTTTATCGTTCTAGAATATCATAAAAGACATTTTCCTGGCCTATATTGCCTAAAAAAAAAGTTGGCAAAATGGCAATTTTTGGACCAAAACCATGCGTTAACCCCTTCGGAAAAATGTCAATTTTTCGAGTTTTTTGGACTTCTTGTTTTTATAGCCTAGAAAGGCGTTTTATCGTTCTAGAATATCATAAGAGACATTTTCCTGGCCTATATTGCCTAAAAGAAAAAATTGGAAAAATGGCCATTTTTGGACCAAAAGCATGGGTTAACCCCTTTGGAAAAATGTCAATTTTTCGACTTTTGGACTTCTTTTATTTATAGCCTAGAAAGGCGTTTTATAGTTCTAGAATATCATAAAAGACATTTTCCTGGCCTATATTGCCTAAAAAAAAAAGTTGGAAAAATGGCCATTTTTGGACCAAAACCATGGATTACCCCCTTTGGAAAAATGTCAATTTTTTTGACTTTTTGGACTTCTTGTTTTGATAGCCTAGAAAGGCGTTCTATCCTTCCAGAATATCATAACAGACATTTTCCTGGTCTATATTGCCTAAAAAAAACAGTTGGAAAAATGGCCATTTTTGGACCAAAACCATGGATTAACCCCTTTGGAAAAATGTCAATTTTTTTGACTTTTTGGACTTCTTGTTTTGATAGCCTAGAAAGTCGTTCTATCCTTCCAAAATATCATAACAGACATTTTCCTGGCCTATATTGCCTAAAAAAAAAAGTTGGAAAAATGGCCATTTTTGGACCAAAACCATGGATTAACCCCTTTGGAAAAATGTCAATTTTTTTGACTTTTTGGACTTCTTGTTTTGATAGCCTAGAAAGGCGTTCTATCCTTCCAAAATATCATAACAGACATTTTCCTGGCCTATATTGCCTAAAAAAAAGAGTTGGAAAAATGGCCATTTTTGGACCAAAACCATGGGTTAACCCCTTTGGAAAAATGTCAATTTTTTTGACTTTTTGGACTTTTTGTTTTCATAGCGTAGGAAGGCGTTTTATCGTTCTAGAATATCATAAATGACATTTTCCTGGACTATATTGTCTAAAATCAAAAAGTTGCAAAAATGGCCATTTTTGGACCAAAACCATAGATTAACCCCTAGGAAAAATGTCAATTTGTCGACTTTTTGAACTTCTTGTTTTTATAGCCTAGAAAGGCGTTTTATCCTACTAGAATATCATAAAAGACCTTTTCCTGGCCTATTTTCTTAAAAAAAAAAAAGTTGGAAAAATGGCCATTTTTGGACCAAAACCATGCGTTAACCCCTTCGGAAAAATGTCAATTTTTCTACTTTTTGGACTTCTTGTTTTTATAGCCTAGAAAGGCGTTTTTTCGTTCTAGAATATCATAAATGACATTTTCCTGGCTTATATTACCTAAAAAAAAAAGTTGGAAAAATGGTCATTTTTGGACCATGCCATGGGTCAGCCCTTTGGAAAAATGTCAATTTTTCTACTTTTAAACCTCTTGTTTTTATTGCCTAGAAAGGCGTTTTATCGTTCTAGAATATCATGAAAGATATTTTCCTGGCCTATATTGCTTAAAAAAAAAAAAGTTGAAAGAATGGCCATTTTTGGACCAAAACCATGCGTTAACCCCTTTGGAAATATGTCAATTTTTCGACGTTTTGGACTTTTTGTTTTTATAGCCTAGAAAGGCGTTTTATCGTTCTAGAATATCATGAAAGATATTTTCCTGGCCTATATTGCTTAAAAAATAAAAGTTGAAAGAATGGCCATTTTTGGACCAAAACCATGCGTTAACCCCTTTGGAAATATGTCAATTTTTCGACGTTTTGGACTTCTTATTTTTATAGCCTAGAAAGGCGTTTTATCGTTCTAGAATATCATAAATGACATTTTCCTGGCTTATATTACCTAAAAAAAAAAGTTGGAAAAATGGTCATTTTTGGACCAAAAGCATGGGTTAACCCCTTTGGAAAAATGTCAATTTTGCGACTTTTTGGACTTTTTGTTTTTATAGCCTAGAAAGGTGTTTTTTCGTTCTAGAATATCATAAATGACATTTTCCATGCCTATATTGCCTAAAATAAAAAGTTAAAAAAATAGTCATTTTTGGACCAAAACCATGGGTTAACCCCTTTTGAAAAATGTCAATTTTTGAACTTTTTGGACTTCTTGTTTTTATTGACTAGAAAGGCGTTTTATCGTTCTAGAATATCATAAAAGGCTTTTTCCTGGTCTATATTGCCTAAAAAGAAAAGTTGGAAAAATGGCCATTCGTGGACCAAAACCATGGATTAACCTCTTTGGAGAAATGTCAATTTTTCGACTTTTTGGATTTCTTGTTTTTATAGCCTAGAAAGGCGTTTTATCGTTCTAGAATATCATAAATGACATTTTCCTGGGCTATATTGCCTAAAATCAAAAAGTTGGAAAAATGGCCATTTTTGGACCAAAACCATGGATTAACCCCTTTGGAAAAATGTCAATTTTTCGACTTTTTGAACTTCTTGTTTTTATGGCTTAGAAAGGCGTTTTTTCGTTCTAGAATATCATAAAAGACATTTTCCTGGCCTATATTGCCTTAAAAAAAAAAGTTGGAAAAATGGCCATTTTTGGACCAAAACCATGGGTTAACCCCTTTGGAAAAATGTCAATTTTTCGACTTTTTGAACTTCTTGTTTTTATGGCTTAGAAAGGCGTTTTTTCGTTCTAGAATATCATAAAAGACATTTTCCTGGCCTATATTGCCTTAAAAAAAAAAGTTGGAAAAATGGCCATTTTTGGACCAAAACCATGGGTTAACCCCTTTGGAAAAATGTCAATTTTTCGACTTTTTGAACTTCTTGTTTTTATGGCTTAGAAAGGCGTTTTTTCGTTCTAGAATATCATAAAAGACATTTTCCTGGCCTATATTGCCTTAAAAAAAAAAGTTGGAAAAATGGCCATTTTTGGACCAAAACCATGGGTTAACCCCTTTGGAAAAATGTCAATTTTTCGACTTTTTGAACTTCTTGTTTTTATGGCTTAGAAAGGCGTTTTTTCGTTCTAGAATATCATAAAAGACATTTTCCTGGCCTATATTGCCTTAAAAAAAAAAGTTGGAAAAATGGCCATTTTTGGACCAAAACCATGGGTTAACCCCTTTGGAAAAATGTCAATTTTTCGACTTTTTGAACTTCTTGTTTTTATGGCTTAGAAAGGCGTTTTTTCGTTCTAGAATATCATAAAAGACATTTTCCTGGCCTATATTGCCTTAAAAAAAAAAGTTGGAAAAATGGCCATTTTTGGACCAAAACCATGGGTTAACCCCTTTGGAAAAATGTCAATTTTTCGACTTTTTGAACTTCTTGTTTTTATGGCTTAGAAAGGCGTTTTTTCGTTCTAGAATATCATAAAAGACATTTTCCTGGCCTATATTGCCTTAAAAAAAAAAGTTGGAAAAATGGCCATTTTTGGACCAAAACCATGGGTTAACCCCTTTGGAAAAATGTCAATTTTTCGACTTTTTGAACTTCTTGTTTTTATGGCTTAGAAAGGCGTTTTTTCGTTCTAGAATATCATAAAAGACATTTTCCTGGCCTATATTGCCTTAAAAAAAAAAGTTGGAAAAATGGCCATTTTTGGACCAAAACCATGGGTTAACCCCTTTGGAAAAATGTCAATTTTTCGACTTTTTGGACTTCTTGTTTTTATAGCCTAGAAAGGCGTTTTATCGTTCTAGAATATCATAAAAGACATTTTCCTGGCCTATATTGCCTAAAAAGAAACGTTGGAAAAATGGCCATTTGTGGACCAAAACCATGGGTCAATTTTTCGCCTTTTGGACTTCTTTATTTTTATAGCCTAGAGAGGCGTTTTATCGTTCTAGAATATCATAAAAGACATTTTCGTGGCCTATATTGCCTAAAAAGAAAAGTTGGAAAAAGGGCCATTTGTGGACCAAAACCATGGGTTAACCCCTTTGGAAAAATGTCAATTTTTCAAGTTTTTGGACTTCTTGTTTTTATAGCCTAGAAAGGCGTTTTATCGTTCTAGAGTATCATAAATGACATTTTCCTGGCCTATATTGCCTAAAAAAAAAAGTTGGAAAAATGGCCATTTGTGGACCAAAAGCATGGGTTAACCCCTTTGGAAAAATGTCAATATTTCGACTTTTTGGACTTCTTGTTTTTACAGCCTAGAATGGCGTTTTATCCTTCTAGAATATCATAAAAGACAGTTTCCTGGCCAATATTGCCTGAAAAAAAAAAAGGTTTCAAAATTGGCCATTTTTGGACCAAAACCATGGGTTAACCCCTTTGGAAAAATCTTAATTTTTCCACTTTTTGAGCGTCTTGTTTTTAAAGCTTTGAGAGGCTTTTTTGGTTCTAGCATATCGTAAAACACATTTGTCTGGCGTATATTGCCTTAAAAAAAGGATAGAAAAATGGCCATTTTTGGACCAAACCCATGGGTTAACCCCGTTGGAAAAATGTCAATTTTTCGACTTTTTGGACTTTTTTTTTTATAGCCAAGAAAGGCGTTTTATCGTTCTAGAATATTATAAAAGACATTTTCCTGGCCTATATTGCCTACAAAAAAAAGTTGGAAAAATGGGCATTTTTGGACCAAAACCATGGGTCAACCCCTTTGGAAAAATGTCAATTTTTCAAGTTTTTGGACCTCTTGTTTTTATAGCCTGGAAAGGCGTTTAATCGTTCTAGAATATGATAAAAGGCATTTTCGTGGCCTATATTGCCTAAAAAAAAAAGTTGGAAAAATGGGCATTTTTGGACCTAAACCATGGGTTAACCCTTTTGAAAAAAATGCCATTTTTTTTACTTTTTGACCGTCTTGTTTATATAGCTTAGAAATGCGTTTTTGCGTTCTAGAATATCGTAAAGCACATTTTCCTGGCCTATATTGCGTGTAAAAAGAAGATGGAAAAATGGCCATTTTTGGACCAAAACCATGGGTTAACCCGTTTGAAAAAAACTTAACTTTTCAAATTTAGAACTTCTTGTTTTTAAAGCTTTGAAAGGCGTTTTTTCGTTCTAGAATATCGTAAAACACATTTCCTGGCCTATATTGCCTAAAAAAAGAAGATGGACAAATTGCGATTTTTGGAACCAAACCAAGGGTTAACACCTTTGGAAAAATGTCAGTTTTCCGATTTTTTGACCTGCTTGTTTTTATAGCTTGGAAAGGCTTTTTTTGTTATAGTATATCGTAAAACACATTTTTCTGGCGTATATTGCCTTAAAAAAAGGATAGAAAAATGGCCATTTTTGGACCAAACCCATGGGTTAACCCCGTTGGAAAAATCTCAAATTTTCGACTTTTTGAAATTTTTTTTTTATAGCTTAGAAACGTGTTTTTTTTGTTCTTGAATATCGTAAAACACATTTTCCTGGCCTTTATTGCCTGATAAAAGAACATGGAAAAATTTTAACCATGGGTTAAGCCCTTTGGAAAAATTTCAGTTTTTCGATTGTTTAAACTTTTTGTTTTCATAACTTAGAAAGGCGTTTTTTGGTTCTACAATATCATAAAACACTTTTTCCTGGCCAGTGTTGCCTAAAAAATGGGTTTGACGATATCCTAGGCTATAAAAACAAGCATTTAAAAAAGTCAAAAGGTTGGGATTTTTCCAAAGATGTTAGTTTATGGTTTTGGTCAAAAATTTGAATTTGAATTTGAATTTTCCATCTTTTTCGACTTTTTTGAAATTCTTTTATTTTTAGTCTAGAAGAGCTTTTTTTTATCGAGAATATAGTCAAACACATTTTCCTCGTTTCTTTTGCGTAACAGAAAAAGATACATAATTTTCCATTTTTTGACCAAAACCATCGACTAACGCCTTTGTAAGATTACAGGTCTCAAATGCATAGTTGACTTCTGGTAAGGTCCATTGAACGTAAACCTGACTTTTGCGAACGATCGCAATGTTACTGAAGATTGCTCTCGCTCGAGGACGTGTGCATAAGTATTACACAACAAATGTATGTAGTGGTTCAAATTTATCCTTGGTTTTACTCATTCTCATACACGACCACTGATACCTAACAACACAGAAAAATAGAGTTTAAACCAAGGATAAAATTGAACCAAAACATGAACACCCAAAAAACAAAACACTTTTATTTCAATTTTGTAAAGTAATGTAAAAAGTTCTAACTATCAAATAATGGTTATTTTAAATTTTCACCATACTACTCAACAACAGACTTTCCTGCATCATCCATCATCCAACAGACAAAACCATTTCTGCGAAGTACATACACCAACTATTAATCTGCGACAAACTATTTAAAAGTCAAGTATTAAAGAACATAACAGTGAATGCAGGTGTACAACATTGCAATTCGAAAGGTAACCTTGGGTAAGCTAAAAAATGCAGCAAGACTCAGGGAAATAAAAAAATTTAAATTAAAAAAAGTGATGGTAAAACAGTAATAGTGGAACAGTAATAGTGAACCTGTAGAAAAAATTAGGTGAAGCATTGATGGAACTGACCATCAGTGAACGGTGATGGTGGAACAGTAATGGTGAAACAGTAATTATGGAACAGTGATAGTGGGACAGTAATTATGGAACAGTAATGGTGAATTAGTAATGGTGGAACAGTGATGATGGAATAGTAATGGTGGAACAGTAAAAGTGGAACAGTGATGGTGGAACAGTAATGGTGGAACAGTGATGGTGGAACAGTAATGGTGGAACAGTGATGGTGAAACAGTGATGGTGGCACAGTGATGGTGGAACAGTAATGGTGGAACAGTAATTATGGAACACAAATGGTGGAACAGTAATTTTGGAACAGTGATGGTGGAACAGTGATTGTGGAATAGTAATGGTGGAACCGAAATGGTGGAACAGTTATGGTGGAACAGTGATGGTCGAATAGTAATGGTGGAACAGTAATGGTGCAACAGTGATGGTGGAACAGAGATGGTGGAATAGTAATGGTGGAACAGTGATGGTGAAACAGTAATAGTAAAACAGTGATGGTGAAACAGGAATGGTGGAACAGTGATGGTGGAACAGTGATGGCGGAACAGTGATGGTGGAACAGTGATGGTGGAACAGTGATGGTGGAATAGTAATGGTGGAACACTAATGGTGGAAGAGTGATGGTGGAACAGTGATAGTGGAACAGTAATGGTGGAACAGTGATGGTGGAACAGTAATGGTGGAACAGTGATGGTGGAACAGTGATGGTGGAACAGTGATGGTGGAACAGTGATGGTGGAACAGTGATGGTGGAACAGTGATGGTGGAACAGTGATGGTGGAACAGTGATGGTGGAACAGTGATGTTGGAACAGTGTTGGTGGAACAGTGATAGTGGAACAGTAATGGTGGAACAGTGATTGTGGAACAGTAATGGTGGAACAGTAATGGTGGAACAGTGATGGTTGAACAGTGATGGTGGAACAGTAATGGTGGAACAGTGATGGTGGATCAGTAATGGTGGAACAGTGATGGTGCGTACACATCGAGAATACATTAAACCTGAGGAGATTTTCCAAACCAAACTTTTTTAAATTTATTAAGGTTGAGGCCGTACGACTACACTTTTTTTTTTACCAGAATATATTTTATGAAAGATCGTAGCTGAAATGTTCAATGCTAATAACAGTTCGATTAAAGGTACATTGATACCCCAATACATCATGAACCGGAAATGACATAAGCTTCAATTTAAGAGTAATTTAGTTATTCAGATAAATGATGGATAAGAATCTGTTGAAAGTCAACAATCACGAAAGAACGATGGCTTTGCTTTGCTTTGCTTTACGGCCGACCTAAAACAACAACACTAGAGACAATGAAAGAAAAAGGTTAGAAATCTGGGAATAAAATGTGCTCAACCATTACCTGTGGAAATAAAGAGAAACTCTCAATGAGAGGGGTATCTTATGGTTATTATATCTCCAGTACGAGTTTCCAATTTGAAAAGTACCCGAATTAGAGTGGTATCCCTACGTTTCGCTGTTCCCTGATTTACTGTGTAATATCGGTTTGTGTCAGCGGTTTACGCAAAATATGTTTCAACGCCTATGCACCCCGTCAAATTTCCACAAAAAATCAGTTCCTAAACAAACCAGGATTCCCATTGTCCGCGTTGATAATCTTAGATTGGTATCCTTACGTTTCTTTGTTCCCTGAGTTATTGTGTAATATCGGTTTGAGTGTCAGCGGTTTACGCAAAATACGTTTCAACGCCTATACACCCCGTCGAATTTCCACAAAAAATCAGTTTCTAAACAAACCAGGATTCCCATTGTCCGCATTGATAATTTTAGATTGGTATCCTTACGTTTCTTTGTTCCCTGATTTATTGTGTAATATCGGTTGGAGTGTCAGCGGTTTACGCAAAATACATTTCAACGCCTATACACCCCATCAAATTTCCACAAAAAAATCAGTTCCTAAAGAAACCAGGATTCCCATTGTCCACGTTAATAATTTAAGATTGGTATCCCTACGTTTCTTTTTTATAAAAGTCAGCCTTCAAAGCCCAGTTTTATGGCCGATCTAAAACAACAACACTAGAGAGAATGAAGGAAAAAGGTTAGAAATCTGGGAATAAAATGTGCTCAACCATTACCTGTGGAAATACAAAGAAACTAGAAAGTTAGAATAAGTTTTTGCAATGGAAAGAATCTCAATGAGAGGGGTATCTTATGGTTATTAGATCTCCAGTATGACTTTCCAATTTGAAAAGTACCCAAATTGGAGTGGTATCCCTACGTTTCTCTGTTCCCTTGGTTTGATCGTCAGCGGTTTACACAAAATACGTTTCAACGCCTATACATCCCGTCGAATTTCCACACAAAATCAGTTCCTAAACAAACCTGGATTCCCATTGTCCTCATTGATAGTTTTAGATTAGGGTAACCTTGATCTTCTCTATAATAAAAAGAGATTAAAGTTAAAAAGGGCAGAAATCTAGGAAGCTGAAGACTTGCAACCTCAAAGCACTCACTTGTTGATGCCGAGAGTAAATTCCTTCTAAGAACTCCTAGGAAGAGAAGCTTTTACATCAATTTCCGCAGTTAGGTAGTGACAGGAACTCTGAAATAATAACAAAAAGTTGAAATACACATTGCACATGTAGTAGTGTTTTTTATTAAAATAAACGCTAATGGGGGTTTAAAGGATTTTTTGTTGAAGTCGATGAATTTTCACCCCAGAGATAATTGAGTGTTGCATCATTTGCTATACAGTACTAACAATGTACATGGCAGATATGTACATTTACTTAATTACACATTCTACGCTCTACGCGATCTGCCCCACAAATTATCCATGACTTGCTCGATGCAGGGTTCACAGCATAACCAGTAGAGCAACAGCATATCTAACTTGGAGGTCGTGCGTGGGTGCTAATCATGCAGAGATCAATACACTTTTTCTTTGCCTCGTGTGGTCCCCAAATTCCATTTAGTTGGCATAACGCTTATTGGGGTTTATGGGTTGCACCTACCAGAAGTTGGAAAGGTATTAGTTCCTTCCATCCCTCTCAAGTTTTCTCATACGGACATCTCGGTTGAAATCTGATACAACTTTCAACTGGACATGTATCATTTCCCTTCCGCAGCATTTTACTCCTACAAAAAAAGACAGTATAACATGAACGTTATCCTGGAGAAATAACGGTTACAAAAATCAGTAGTACTGTTTACTGAATCAGTAGCCAATGAGAACTCTGTTTGTCTTTTTTATAACCAGGTTGCTTTGCTTGCAGAATTTTAAAACTCTTTTTTCAGTCTACGGCCTCCCTTTGGTAAGTGTAATGTGTAGTTGCAGAAAATATCCATAACCCCCCACGGAGGGCAACGGAAATTCCGAAGGGAGGCGGGGATGTCGAAAAGGAGGCAATTACAGAGGGAGTCGGGGGTTGCTTACAGAGGTCTTTTTCTAGGGGGTCTGAGTAAGATTGGTGAGTTGTTAATAAATAGCAGCTTCTCTCTTGAGAAAGCATACATCAGTTATTTGCTGTCACCGGTGTTTCAAAGCAAGCATTATTGTTTGCATTGATCATCTTTTTTCTAGGGTCGGCTAAATGCTTTTTTCAATAGTTTCCTTTAATACAATACAGTCGCATCTCCCAAAGGGACAGAGCGAAGTCTCCGTATTAGAGAGATGTCCATTTTAGATAGGTCAATATGATGACATCACCAAAGGAATGTGAAGAATCTGGCAGAAAGTGCATATGAAATTGGTAACTGCGCCTTGAAGAATAGGTTGCGTTCTTCTTCGCTGAACACAATTAGCTAAGGACGTCCTTGAGATTATAGGACATCTTATTAACATGAATGAAATTTATTTTCTCATTTTCTCGCAGAAAAAAAATTATCTTTTGCATAATAACATAGTGCAACAAATACAATATTTTGACACAAATATACTTTCCAGAGGGTACTCAACTAAATTCCAGGGGGTTGGGGACTATGACATGCATCCCCTACAGTGTACATGTAAAATGGGAGGTCTAACTTAAAAGTTCCCTCCGTGGGGGTATGGATATTTTCTGGAACTACACAATAATAGATGTGTTCAGTATTTTACTGACTGCTTCAGTGCATTAACATGCCAACTCTGGCGAATAAAATAGAGTTATGAGGTTTACTGTGATTTCATTTTGGGTTTTTCCCATTTTTTCTCAAAATTCTACTTTTCTTTGATTCATAGTTTGGTTTCTGGGGCCTCTTTGCACGTATTTCATCATTGACAAAGATTATTTCACTTTCATGATCTTAAAAGCAAATTATGATGGTCTGTAATTCATGTAACAATTCATATAATGCCCTAAGCTTATCGGGAGATTAGGGGGGTGGGGTGGGAGGTGGTGATGCAAAAGAGAGAGTATCCAGAATTTAGATTTCCAGGGGTTGGCATCTGCAGTGAGTGCGGTGCCTTGGTTGATGGCTCCTCACAAGGTTCCTATGGATATATATGTTGTAGTTGATTTTTTATCTCCGGTAATTTGTATTTTTCTTTTGTTTTAACTTCATTAGTAATACATTAAAATCCCCCCCCCCCCTCGGCAAAAAAACATTACCTGAGATAAAATATTACCCACAACATAAATATAAATAGGTGTACATGTTTTTCACTGAGTGTTAATTATCATACAGTGAATATTGGTTTAACATTTGCATCATGCATTCTGCTTGGTACAGGTATCAAGGCATCAACAGCAAATTTGTTTTCAAGATAGCATTATCTAGTAGCAGCCTCGGGGGGTCTTGCAATGTTACGTACCTCTTCAGCTGATTAAGGCAAGCTTTCGGTTCAAGTTTTCATGCCCACTGGTGGCCTCTGAGGATTACAATGAGTGCTTCATGTTCAATTTGCCATGCACAGATAATTTTCTGGAAAATTAAATGTGTTTTATTACTATCAGACTATGACTTCTACTTACACTGTGGTTATCTGTGTTAGGTTACAATGACTAAGAGTACTAAATAAAAATCTTGTTTTTAAGGCAAGTCAGGTTTCTGCATCGCATTATTTTGTTCTGTTTATCTAGAGAATTACTGTAGATGACTGATTTGCTGCTAATAATGATATGGTGTAGTTTAAAATTTCCTTATCCACGGAAGGAAAAAAATTAAAACCCACCTGTCCATGGTAATGTGGTTCTAACTTAGTTCTTGTCTATAATAAGTCATATATGTAGATATTTTGTGCAAAATTAGTATAGGTATAAATAACATGATTTGTAGTGATTTTCAGCATAAATACCACAGTTATATATTATTCACAGGAAAAAGTAACAGATTCCCATTTTTGGATATTTTAGGGTGTTTAAAGAATACCCACGAAAATCCCAAATTTGGAAGAGTGAGACAAGTCCCAATCAGGGAACTTGGTTGGGAATTCCCTGGTTGGGACTTGTCTCACTTTGCCAAATTTGGGATTTTTATGGGTATTCTTTAAATACCCTAAAATATCCAAAAATGGGAATCCGTTATTTTTCTCCTGTGATTTCAAAATTATGTAATTTCAAGAGCCGTTAGGTGAGTGAAATTTGGGACAATTTTGAAATATCATGAGGGGTATTTTATGCCAAATATCAGGTACAAATCATGCTATTATTAATTTTGTTTTTTGCTACCCGTAAAGGTTTTGTAATTTTCACATGTAGGTAATAATTTCAAATTAAGCTGAAATACCACTGTTCTAACCCAATCAAATTGCAGAAATTTCTCATGTACTAGTATAAAAAGAGTAATAATTTCATGAGGGTAATTGCAGTACAGTAGAACCCATACTCTTTGGACAGCCGAATATAATGGACAGTTTTACTTGCCCCACCAAAAAGTCATACATATTTTCTCCAAAAATAGCCTGACTAATACAGACACCACTAAATATTGACAGATACTTTTCCGTGTCCCATGACACAAAGTCTCTTAATGTACCTGTATATAACAGTACAGTGAAACCTCTATTAAGTGGACAGCCTCTATTAAGCGGACACTTGGGAAGGTCCCGAAGGTGTCCCCTTAATAGAGGTTTCACAGTACTAAAATAGTTTTATTATCCATCATCAACCAAGCTTTACGAGTAGTTCTTTTCTGTGCACTGTTAATACTGACTGAATATCTTATCAACGAAAACCTAATAGAAAAGGCAAGTGACTTCTACTTTAGCCTGAATTCCATCCGATTGCTTCAAGTCATTTTCTCCTCTCAGCAACGTATGAATCAACTGGCCGTAAATGCTGTCCAGTGACATCAATACTCCTTTGCCTTAATTCATGCAAAAAGTAAAACATGATTTTCAAGTGGCAAACCGACAGATGTTGCTTAGAAATGTCAGCATGATACAGAATTGCTTTACTTTTTTCAATCGTAATTAATGTTTAACATTCAAACTATCAACTGCATGCAGTACAGCTCTGAACCGGTTGTAATTCCATAATCAAACTCAGTCTCAATCATGCAATGAAATGAATACACACGGAACACTTAGTTCAAAAACACAATGATTTGCTTTAATTGAAAAGAAGATATTTGGTCCTTAAAGAAGAAACAAAACAAGGAAACAAGAAAGAAAAGCTAATAGAATCATTACACTTGACGGTGAAAATAGCAAGAAGGTCGAATAATAAAATGACATACACACATGAAATTTTCAGAATTTTACATGTGTTTTCACAATTCTTCTGAAATCTTGGCACCTTAGTTAAACGAAACAAAAATCAACTTTGACATTACAAGACAACTGAGCCAGCCCAGTATTGTGATGCTAGGATCCCGGCTGGAATTTTTCCAAGTAATCACGCTTGCCAGGCAGCCCGGTGAATGAACCACGCGAGGAACATGCACACTGCTTCCAATCTCTATATAAAGCTGGTGGCTGTGGGATGGCCCTTTTCATGCAATACCGGGATAAAAGTCACCTCAGCAAAGCTATCCAGTCCGGCTCATGTGTTCAGGCCACTACTGTGAGTTGCATCGTAACGCAGTTTGCATGTGAAAGCTTTGGAATTTGCCGCTTTTGTGGTTAGTGTATGAGAGAAGTCGACTTGATCTAAAGGTTATTGTTTTCTCAATAAGATTTTAAGAAATCACCTCCTTTCCGAACATATGCAATGAAATTGTGCATCACTCAAAGTCAAAAGTAACAGGCTAATGTCTACTAGCTCCAAAAAAAATTATCAAACGGCCCACTCATCCCATCCTCATTTTCCCCACTGAAACAATCCCATATTCCTCTTATGCACGATCACGGAACTTTCTGTCATTGCATGACATCTACTTTGACTCTTAACAACTGAGGGCAAAAATATTGTCAAACTCTTGGCTATAAGCCAAACCCATCAATTCCACAGTGTGATTTAATTCAATGTTTCATACTACCAACAATTAAAAAATATTCAGTACTTCTAAACCTCAAACAACACATAAAGTAATTGGGAATGGATACAAATACCCAAAAAATTGGCCTGGCCAAATGATAACATCATATCAAAAAGCAGAGCTATTTCCTGTAATATGATATTTGAAATGTCATTCCTCATGAACGCATTTTTGTAAACACCGGACAGAAAGCATGAAAATGGCTTAAACTCTTAGGTGTGATCCAAACCTGTCTTAAAATTCCAAAGATTTTTGACAGATTTAATCGCTGAATTTAATACTTCCAAATTTCTGAAAAAACCCGCTGTAATAAAAAAGGTGAGTTTCAGATTAAGTTCATCTTTTCCTCCACATGGAAAATTATTCCTGCGTTGCTTTAACGTGTTCATCGCCTTTAATTCCTTCGTCTACACACTTTTGGGAATTGCGTTTCTTTGTTGCAAGGTTTTTGAGATCGTAAAAAGTGGGATCAAGTATGTACCCTGTTAGCAGAGAATCTCTGCCCGGGGTATTTGTCGAATCTTCTAGAAGCTGTTAGCGTCGTTCTTCTTTCAATATATGGGCGCAGCTGGAATTGACTGATGTATTATTACAGAGTTCCCATAAATATGGTATTTCCAGCCTACCTGCTGCCAAAGTATAATTTTGGTGGGGCATTTGTACCCCATTTTTAAGCCCCATCGTGGGGCATTTGCAGCTTTTCCCAGACAAGACAAATACCTGACAAATGCCCGGGTGGGGGGGGGGGGGAAGGGGGCCCCTGGGATAAGTGGGGGCATTAATAAAAAATATAAAAAAATAAAAAAAATAGGCCCGCCCCGGTTGTCGCGCGAGACGGGTTTCAGTAGGGTATTGTATAAAGATTTTTGGGTCGAGGCTTGTGGTTTTTTTGCGNTTATTTACCCATTCCTTTGTCGGCTGAAACATGGAAAATCGTTACAAAGAAGGTGAGTCAATTTTTCTTTGCTTAAGCCGGCATTTTGAGCGAGAAAAATCCGTATTTTGCAAAGCATCTTTTTGCAAAACAAGAACTGATTACGTATGCAAGACTTCGTGGACAAGATTTTGCGACTGGTAAGAATTTCTCTTTTAATCAGTGCCATACATAAAGTTTTGCGTTTTTTCCCATAAAAGTTATTTTATAAAAGCAATAGAAAACTTTTTCCTGTGTTTGTATAGCCTGATATAAACACTCGAGGCGTTGGGAGAATTCTCAACGGTTATGCAAACCCTCGACTTCGTCTCGGGTTTGCATAACTGACTCGAATTCTCCCAACCCCTCTCGTGTTTATATCAGGCTATGCAAACACAGAAAACGTTTCCTATTGCTTAAATGTATATTTTGTCACGAAAGTTGTCTATTTTGTGTGATATATAATATCTAAACAAAACAGCCCGACAAATCGTTCGAAAATATAGAGCAACTTGGGATTATCTACAAATTTATTTTCTGACGCTGTTACATAATGCTAATGAGATTAAAGCTAACTAGCATAATTAAATTCAACACTCGTGGTTTGCTGTTTACCTTTAAAAGACGCTTTAATTTTTAGTTTTTCATGGAAATATCGGGTTAAAAACAAGCACATATGAATTTTCAGATAGAATTCATCAAAATAAGCAAGGCTTTGAAGGCAAAAAGCTAATCGGGAAGGAATTCGTCCCGTTTGAAGAGTACCAGAGAGTATGTGTGGTAGACGTAGCCGGCTCGGCGATTCTTACTGTTTTCTTACCTCGATTTTCGAGTTTATCTTGCTTGTTATCCTCCAGAATCCTTCAAAATAATTTTCTGGACTTGAATTTGGTAAAAAGGCGTCGAAACAAGCTTTCATGATGGTCATTCTTCGCAAAACCCGCACCAAAATCCTTGCCGCATTTGTCATTTTGTAAAAAAGTCGTTGCGTTACGCTAATAACCGACGGGGGACTGGAACTAGCCACATAATTGGGCCAAATTTGTCAGCCAAATTTGGAGAACCAGGGGGTAACGCAAAGTTTTGCGAATTTTTTTCGTGAAAGGTCATTTACAGGACTGGGAGACAATTTATGAGTCTCGAAACTTACGCAAGCAAGACTAAATATGATTTGTAATGCTGCGAAGAAATGACTACATCACCGCAAACTGCATCATGTTCAGATGTGCAGAATCCTGGCAATTGAGAGTGTCTTTCAAACACATTATCCTGGTTTATTTTCCTGGTTTATTTTGCGTAAAAGAAAAAGATGAAAAATTTTCAATTTTTTGATTAAACTTGGACTAACCCCTTCGAAAAAATTGATTTTTCGACTTTTCTAAATCCTTGTTTTTATAGTCTAGAAAATCTTTTTTTGTTTCTAGAATATCGTCAAAATTATTTTGCTTTAAACTCCAGTTTTCCTTCGATTGGTCAAACGTATGCAATTTTTTTAGGTAAATTTTTAAGAACCACATTCAAGTTCAACACAACGCCCTCCATCTCAACAAAAAGAGCTAAAACCAAATGCTTCTAGATCTATTTTTATTGTATAATCATTTACCTGTATATTATTCTATCTAGTACAGTGAAACCTCTATTATTAAAGCGGACACCTATGGGGCCTTCCCAAGTGTCCGCTTAATAGAGAGTGTCCGCCAAATAGAGGCTTGTAAAAATTGTGTGTCGAACTCGGCCAAGCGCGATGCAAACGGATTTTTCAAGGTTCTCTTACTCTCCTCGCATCTTTTGATTTCGCGACATCCTGTCCAAAAGTCAAAGTTGGGTGCATGCGCAGTAACGGGATACTGTTCCTTTAAGAGAGTGTCTTCTCGATCTCACCACTCTTAAACATCGTCAAACATCATCTTTTAGTCAACTTTTTAGACGAAAAACAGACAAAGAAAAAATTCTTGTTTTGACCCAAAACAAGAGCCCACATGGAAAGTTAATCTGCCTAAGGCCATGACGTAACCTGATCAAAAATAAAACACAAACAACGGTGATAAACATTTTGAACTGCTGCATTTTTATATAAACTCGACGTTTCGTATGCTAGTCTTCATAAAAGATCCTTTGGTCCATTTTTCTACACTAAAACATCGTAAAACATCTTTTTTTGGTCCTTTCTTCCTTCACTGTTTTTACTATTCAATAGGATATTTATAAAATTGACGTTTTCGTGTCTCATTTTGATTTGCGGTCAGGGGTCGCGCCTTAAGGTCCTTTGCTCGTCACACGTTTCACTTTTACAAGACAAACACGTTTTCCGAGAATTAGTGGATATCGTTTGTGCTTTCGACTCTACAAATTTTGCTTTTGGCGATTGCACGATATTTTTCGTCTGGGGAATAAAAGACAGAGTATTCACGTTGAAGATGTCAGATATCCAGTCGTTTGCTGTGATCTACCTTTTTTTGGCAGGCTTCTGTTGCAGTTCTATGGGCGTCGATCAATGCATCCCCGCCGAGGGCTACAAAGGATGTGCATGCTACAGAGAAACAGTCAACAAAACGAAAGAATATGTGAACCTTCTGCCACTGAAGACGAATTCGTCAACCCCAAGGTACGTTTCTTTGTCCGACTCGTGTAATCTGCGCAGCGTTTTTGTCTTGAAAAGGGGATCCGAAGATTCTAGATTAGACTAGACTGAGATCAGTTTTGACTTCCTACGGTTTCAGCACGTCCAAGGGCTTTTAAATTTATTCTAATTGAGCTGACTTAAACGGAGAACAGTTGTTAAGTTGGTGTGAAGGAAATTGAAGGTAATTTTATTAACTATGGGCAAGCTAGAATGCAGAACTATTTCTGCAGAGGTCAGATGCCCTGGGAGGGTCTCCGGGTGGGCCTTAGGATAAACTCGCGGTGGGGATGGGGGTCCTTCCTTTATTTGGCCGGGGACGTGCTACTGGACAGGTCTTGGCACACTTTTATTAAAATTAAGCCTTAATACATCCTTACCCCCTTGAATGCTCAAAAACGTTCACACACCCCCTCGAAACATTTTTATTTGTGATAAAAGTGAACAGAGTGTTGGTTCAACCTACCTCAGAGAAATGTTCTGGGCTTTGTTCAACCCCTGGAATTTCGTCCGTTCTACGAGGGATCTGTAGATATTCACGTTTTTCTTCTCCGTTCGTTTATTCACACAAGGCATTTTATAATCTACACATGTCTTAATTCAGTGGACCCCTCGGCATATATGGACCTTTGCCGTCCAAGAGGGAAATTTGACTTAACAATCGTATTGAGTGGAGAAGTTTCCTTAGCTTTTCGGTGCATGTTGCTGTAATTTAAGTTATTTAGCTACTTGTGAATGTTACTAAATAAATTGATCCTTACGTAAACACCGCAGTAACTTGGTGAGATCATCTGACATATCTGTGTAATTATTTTAGGTTTACAGTTATGGACAAGGATTGGTGGTACATATCTTACAGTCCATGCGGTGATTTCAGCGAATTTGTTGGTGAAAAAATGACTGGTTATTTACCCTGTATCAAGGCCACTGTAAGTATGCATGAAAATATTTAAACAAGTCACATTCAAAGGCTGGTCAATACCAGTATTACAAATCCAATTGAAACCTTGTACGGGTCAGAGAGGGCACAAAAAAAAAACACACACACCCTTGTAAAGCGGCACGTCCCTGAATAAGCACCCCTTGTTTACATCGGATACAACCCTTTCTCTACTATTAAGACCATTCCCAGTTTTTTCCAGTTTTTTTCTCCTCGCCCCATGTAAGGAAATGCAAGACAGTCTTGGATTCTGGACTTCTCGCCGTGGATTCCGGATTCCAGGTACTGGATTCCAGTCTTTGTCAGTGGAACTTAGTTAGATTCCAGATTCCAATCCTTAATGGGATTCCGGATTCCTTGAGCTTTATTCGGGATTCCAAAGCCCAGGATTCCTCATTCCACGACTAAAATTTCCTGGATTCCGGATTGCACAAGAAAAAATTTCCGAATTCCGGAATCCCTTTATGGGGCGATTTCAACATCTAGCCAGGAAGTCAGGAAGCGCATTCGATGCTAAACGAAAACAATTAAGGAGACGATGGCCTTAGCTCTAACAATGAAACCAAGCTTAATAGTATAAAAACAAAAATAGAACATCTGGAGAATCTGTTTGGCTATTTGGGTGCACCCAAAGTAACATTTGTCTCCTCAACCGCACATTTCGTAGGTTGCAAGATGGACAAACACATCCGTCCACAGATGTGAAAGCCTGGGTGAAAATGCGAATGCAATATTTGTGAGTACTGTCGTTGGAGATGATGTAGGATTTATCACATCAAACCTCACTTTAAAATTTAGGTATTAAATTGGGTTTAAATTCTGTGGTACTTTGTTTAAAAAATAGGTTGGTCTTTTTCCTATTACAGTCGACTCCCGATAATTCGAACCTTCAAGGGAAATAGAAAAAAGTTCGAGTTATCGAGAGTTCGAGTTATCCAGGGTAAAATTATATAGAAAATGATCTGAAGGTAAATGAAAATTGCTTCGAGTTAGCGGGAGGTTCGAGTTACAGAGGGTTCGAGTTACCAAGAGTCGACTGTACTAGTCTCGACCACCATGTCCAAAATATCGTGATGTGATGGTGGTGCTGCTCCACCTAAATCCGCGGGAGTACCAGCTAGTAACCGTTGTTCCAATGTGGACCTTCTTCACTTGTTTATTCTCCCGCTAATATCACGTGGAGTTACCCTGCATAATTTCTTTCGTCTCACGTGAGGTCATGGAGGGTAATGGAATAGAAATGACGAAATTTTCCAAGCTGTTTCATCCCCTTTGGGGGTGAAATCGCACAAAAATCGCCCGTGTTAACGACGATTACAATTTAATCAATTTATTGATATAATTCATAATTTTTACTTTTCAGGAGTGGAGAAAAGGAACATCATTCAGCCATCATTTCATTAGTTTGCAACGACACTTTGCCTGAAAGCAAAAGCTACTTTCGATACATCAACACATCGAATAGGCCAACTGACACCTATGTATGTATACAGATTTGAGTACTTACTTTACCGTGACAGTTCCCACTGTAGAATTTTTATGAATTTCGTGACACAGCTCCTTAAATGTGTCTGATATGAACATACCCTGATGTGAGTGATGTGACGGCCGGAGTCACGCAAGCTCCCTGCCCGAGCTTGCGCGACTCCGGCCCAAACTGCTGTGTAGGAGACTAGTTACTGGGGAGGGGATTGTATCTAGAGTGGACTAGAGGGTGGACTCAGGGGCACGAAAAGTAGCCTCCCATACAGACGCTCTTAAGGGTTCGTCACGCGTTCCTGTCCCACGTTGGGGAGGATTGCGTGACGAGCCGAAAGAACGTCTGAGTGAGAGGCTACACCAAAAGAAGCCCCCCGTTTACCCCAAATACATAGAGTCAAACGTCTCTTGGTTGTCCCCAGACGGTTTTATTTTCTTGTCAACAGTATCTTGAATTAACAAGCAAATGTTGCTGTCCAGGCAAATGTGGGTCTCCTCCAGGTATGAATGTAGTTTATCAACAAATAAAGTTATTCACATTCAAGGGAGTGGGGGTCATTGCAGATGTCACTATGACAGCCTCCATGTAGAACAGCTGCCATTTTTTCACGTTTTCAGGCAAGCATAAAGAGGTTGTGGAGCGCGAGACACGCGCCTTCCCCGTCGCGCGTGACTCGCTCTCCACGTCTGCTTCGCGCTCGCCTGAAAACACGCAAAAATAGCCCCTATTCTGTAGGCTATTGCCATAAGGGCTTGTCAGCTTTTAAGATAAAAATGAAACAAACCAAAGAAACAATGTCCCCTCTTTCCAGAAAGATAATAGACGTAGACTAAGCAACCGCTACACTAACGCAAGCATACAAGGCCTGCTTACTTTGTAAAACTTGGGGAGACTTCTCCAGAGTGACAAATCGAAGCCGTGTAGAAAACCACGATCAACTAGCCCTGGGTACTACAGTTCACCACAGCCGTTACAATTTCAATTGGTACATTTACTGCAATTCACCATTTTCACATTGCCCATAATAAACCCCCTGTCTCAGCACCAATGTGGGTTCCGCGCTCTTCATTCAACAGTTACAGCCTTATTGGAGGCAACTGATAGTTGGGCCTATAATATTGATATGGGTAATGTTAACGCTGTTGTTTTTCTTGACCGTAAGAAGGCGTTTGACACAGTCGACCACCACATTCTATTATCTGAATTACATCTCTATGGTATAACAGGTGTTTCCCATAAATGGTTCTCCTCCTATTTAGATAATCGTTCTCAGAAATGCGTTGTTAATGGTTCAGAATGTTGCACCCTCAAGTGTGGTATTCCCTAGAGAACAATATTATTTGCCCAATTGTCTGTCTCTCCCTGTGCCAAGAATGTATGCTAATGATACCCATCTGACTAATTCGAATGGTAATATCCATTGCATTCAGTCCTCCCTGAACGAGAACTTGCGTAACTACAGTTACGACAAGGAACAGTTGCCAACAGTTGTCAAAATTACCCACAATTATACCTCATTAACTTCTTTGATATTATTTGTTTTTAGAGCCACCTGCAGCCCCGCCTACAGGTTTGCCTTTCTTGGAACTTGTTTCTTGGTTACCCGTCGCTCCAAAAAAATTACGATATTCATATATATTTTTTTAAATTTCTCTTTCAAGGACACTCGACTGTGGTTTCTTCAAGCGTCCTCAAAACCTTTGAAATGGGCCTGCTAACGCTTGTTGCTGGAAATGTGTATACGGCGAACACCTGAGATGTGGGAAATTTACACCACAAGCCCAAGATTATCTAAACCATAAATTTGACCTTTGAGAATGATCGGACGCAACGCTTTATCCATTGAGCTAATCAATCAGGCTTACTGGAGAGCAAGCCATTGTGAGTTCGCAATATTCCCCTCATCTCGTCTCGCGCTTCGCGCAAAATGCCGTGTTTGCCTCGCTTGGCTCATAAAGCGCCTGTTATGCAGGCTAAATACCCGATGGAGGAAATGACGTAAATCGAAATACGTGAAATGAATCATATTTTGAACTGCAGATAAAGATGTGAAAGTGAACTCATGATCTTCGCAGTAGAATGAACAACCTAAGCGGATGAAAAAGAACCTGAAAACTCGCAATGGCTTGCTCTACGGTTGGCTAAATTTGGTCAATGGATAGAGCGTTGCGTCCGATCAATCGCAAAGGTCAAGGTTCGATTCCTGACCAAGCCTGAATTTTTCAGGTTCTCTTCAGGTACATTAACGAGCTTATAAATGATTGGTGTCTTAGCCAGTATGAAAAATAGAAGTTGCAAATTGAGTAATTATGATTGTATTGGTCATACAATTATAGTATCGACTAGAAATGAAGTGCTTATATTACAGCCGATTTTTTTGTTTTGGCTACCACTACAAATAAAAATCATTTTGAAAAGTAATTAAAGAAATAAAGGAATAAAAACTTAAATTCAAAAGTCAGTAAAAGCTTTCTTCATTCATGGAATAATTCCAACAGAACGTGCTGTCAGAAGTGAGTTCGAATTGTCGAGTATTCATCTAGGCCGCCATTGTCGTCAAGATTGCCTGTGTCATTAATAAAAACATGTGCTTATTCTAAGCCAATGGTTTTCTATATTCTTTTGGGAAATAATGCACGCTTAACGGAGGTTTACAAATGGAGAATGCATGGAGCATTTCTTTGTATACTGCACACCTCAAGCCGCATAACTGGCTAAGCGACAGGTATCAGTGCCAGATTGTTACAATATGCCTCGTTAGCGATATACTCTCCCTTTCTCTGACTTTGTCCACAATTTAGCTCTTGGTCATTACTGTCAGTACAGTCGACTCTCTCTAAGACGGACACCTTTGGGACCGGCACTAGCTGTCCGTCTTAGAGAGATGTCCGTCTTAAAGAAAGTCAAATAGATGGAGCAAAGAAAGGCAGGGTCCAACTCTAGGTGTCCGTTTTACAGAGGTGTCCGTCTTATAGAGGTGTCAGTTAAGAGAGAGTCGACTGTAGTAGTAATGACGGACCTTGAAGAACTGCCTACAATGAACAGATATACCTCATCAGCTTTCCATTTTCGCCTGCCATTTTTTCTCAGGATTATAACTGTTAGAAGTAAATCTGTATAGAGGAGATAATGAATGGAAGCTGAAGCGAAGCCAAGCAGTTTTCCTGGCTGAAGATCGTAGCCCACGAGGTGAGCTTGCAGTGGCTTGCTTCGCACTGAGCCGGAACGTGAAGATAACGACGCTTCTGAAGCTAAATTGTCGTCCGTTCAGGCTACCTTTTTATCTTTGTCATTACAGTTGGCAGTAAATCTGGATTAATTTGAGTCCAGCTATGAAGAACTAGCAGCAAACTACCAGTTGTTACAAATGGCACAATCAGCAGCCAGGCAAGGTCGTCTTTGAAATCGAGGTTAAAACTAAAAATTGGATGAATAGCATTGTTAGCACTGAAAAATATCACTTTCAATTAAGCCCTGATAAATAAGTTTCGTTTCTATCTGCTGAAACGTAGGAGCAACCGAAGAATTTTTTACGTTTTTGTGGAAAGGATGTCGCACAGGCAAACAAAACATGCCAAGCCTGTGAGAACATGCATACAGAAACCATCATGCAATTAAAATAATCGCCAGACCGTCCGTTTGTTTACTCTCAAGACAAATTTAACAACAACTTGCTCTTTTGAGAGAAAATCGTGCGTCACATAGACGATTCGAAGGATACGAATCATTTACCAACGAATTAAAATCGAGAATGACTGTCGAGAAACCTTAATCTGAAATGTAATCAATACCACAAATTGCCCAGACGTTATCGTCTGTACTAGTACCCCTTTCTGTAACAGCTTCAGAATCGTCTATATGTGTGCGGGTGTTTGCGCCAATCGCTTGCAAAGCGAGTAGGTACCAAGAGCCTATTTTACATCTTTGCCTTTGCTTTCCTATTCTTCTTAACTTTTACAGTTCTTACTGACAAAACTAACTCCTAACTGACTAATACACCAAGTAGTAACGGTTTTTATAGCCAAAGCTGGACATGTTTGGCTTAGCTGACCAAGGTAAAAGCAGCATGGGTAATGTTTTGGTATCGCTGAATCTACACGGCTGCGATCGGTAAGAAGCTACAAACCAATGAAAAACTAAAAACGCGTATTAACAAATCCAAACAGGAACTTCAACGAGACAAATGGACCGAGATCAGCTCTAACCACCACCTGTGTAGAACTCACATCTGACGACCACAAGCCATGAATATTCTTCTGCACTGTTCACACACGAAAATGCCGGTCTATTTTGTCGGTTATAGAATTGGATTGCCTGACAAATTGCAACATATACGTTTCTAACCTGGCATGCAGCAAGCTGTGAAAACACTGTCCATGTTCCGTGGTAAGTTGTATCGTGATTACAGCTCTACAGGGCCGTGATGGGGCGTTCATTTCTTCAGTGAATACACCTGGAACGTTGTAGCCTTTCTTGAAGACAGCAAGTTGCTTTCCAATGATGATCTATAACATTAAGTGAAAGATAGGATTTAATCGACCGCATGTAAGGGTCAACGGCATAGAGGGACGATTGACTACATGTATCTGATTCAATACTGAACAAATACTGCCTCTTGTAGCGATAATTAAAATAAATAAATAAATAAATAAATAAACACTATTAATAAATAGATTTAGAGCCAGCACATCCACAGGTCGGTCCTTCATGTACCATTTCTGGTGGAACTGGAATTTGAAAACGGTGGTTTTTGTGGGGAGGGGAAAACCGAAGTACCCAGTAAAAAAACCTCCCGGAGCAAAGGAGAAAACAACAACAAACTGAACCCACATATGGCATCGACGTCAAGATTTGAACCGGGGCCACATTGGTGGGAAAAGAGTGTTCTCACCACTGCAACACCATTGCTCCCCTTTAAGAACAGTATAAACACAGATTGGTCAACAGCTCCATTAAGACTAGCGTCATACCTGTTTTGGTCTAACATAATGTAGTCACGAAGCTCATATGACATAAAAAATCTTTAAGTCAGGGAGGGGGTTTTCTATAGTTTCCTTGGTTTAAGCGTTTTCTTTCGTTGCACTGGTTAACTCAGTTTTTAGAGGTTTAGTGGTTTACGGGTTTCACTGGTATTATGGGTTCCCAGGTTTTAAGGCTTTTCTGCAAAACTTTTTCCTGAAATTAAAAGGGTAAACGCTTCCTCTTGGTAATGAAGAATCACAGTTTGCACAGTCACAACTCTGCAGGTTTTAGAGATTACGAATTCGGAATATTCTCACTTTGCGGGTAAAAGTCTGATATAGATGAAAGGACAAGAGGAATATTGAAAGTATCTAGCAGACAGTGAAATTAAAACAATTGTCTCAAAACAAGGTGCATCATTACCGACAAAAAGAACACACTATTTCCCAATTTTCTCGGCGTTGTTCTCAGGAAAGAGGCTGCCACATAGCCTGGGTAACTTAGGTGACTTGCATTTCCCTCACTAGGGTAACTAAGGTGACTTGCGTGACTACGGTGAATTGGGTGCCCAAGGTGACAAGAGTGACATGGGTGGCTGGGGTGAGTTGGGCGACTCGGGTGACTAGGGTGACTTGGGTGACTTAAGTTACTAGGATGACTTGGGTAACTAGCATGACTAGGGTGACTGAGATGACTTGGGTGACTAAGGTGACTTGGGTGCCTAGGGTGACTACAATGACTAGGGTGACTAGGATGACTTGCGGTGACTAGAGTGACTTGCGTGACTAGAATGACTAGGTGACAAGGATGACGAGGGTGACTAGGATGACTTGGGTGACTAGAGTGACTTGGGTGACTAGAATAACATGGGTGACTAGGATGACTCAAATGACTAGGCTGACTTGGGTGACTAGGATGACTTGGGTGACTAGAATGACATGGGTGACTAGAGTGACCAGGATGACTTAGTTGACTAGGGTGACTTGGGTGACTAGGATAACTAGGGTTACTAGGATGACTTGGGTGACTAAAGTGACTTGGGTGACTAAGATGACTTGGGTGACTAGGATGACTTGGGAGCATAGGTTGACAAGGGTGACTAGGATCACTTGGGTGACTAGGGTAACTAGGATGACTTAGGTGACTAGGATGATGACTTAGGTGACTAGGATGACTTGCGTGACTACAATGACTTGGGTGACTGGTGACTACGATGACCTGGGTGACAAGGATGACTAGGGTGACTAGGAAAACTTGGGTCACTTGGATAACTAGTGTGACTAGGATGACTTGGGTGACTAGGGTGACTGGTGACTTGGGTGACTAGGGTGACTTAAGTGACTAGGATGACTAGTGTGACTAGGTTGACTTGGGTGACTACGGCGACTTGGGTGACTAACAGGAACAGGATAACTAAGGTGCCTAAGGAGACTAGGGTGACTTGGGTGACTAGGATGACTAGAGTGACCAGGATTACTTGGGTGACTTGGGTGACTTGGGTGACTAGGGTGAATTCTCTGTTTTCACATGACGTCACGCGGTATCCATATTTGGGTGTCCGCCATTATGGAGCCCCTCGGCAGCGTAATCTGATGCAAATTTCAAGCCATTTCTATAGCAGTTCACACGAGTCTCGCAATACTTTTCGATTTGATCATGGATATTTCACAGGAAAACTGCAATGAGGACCTGGATAGTCTTTCTAAAGATATACCAGTGCTTTCTGAGTACGCAAAAGGTTT